GGAACTGTTTAACTACTGGTGTTAGAGTTGATATAGAGTCATTGGGGGTTTAGGTGTCTGTTTGTTGGGCATATACATCTCGAGGATCTCTTAATGAACAATGACCCGATGACATATTCTCGAGGACAATAAGAGGTGAGCTTTCATGGTCGTATGAGCAAGTCCTCGAGGACGTCTTGGCAAAAAAGTGAGGCGGAGCATGTAGGGAATCCTCGAGGAAAACAATCCTCATGTATGCAATATTGGCATTATCACTATTTAACAGTGATATTAAAAGACCAGTTTAAGTAACACTAATGTGATATTAAATAAAACGTATAATTAAATAAATTACATAATTTCACCTTTCGTTGACTTTATTATTTAGAGTCACATTGATTTGTGTTATAACACTGGTAGTGCTAGATAATATTATTTTATTGAAAATTCTTTCTCGAGTGAGGTGTCTATTCATCAAATTAACCCTACCACCACCACGACTACATATATCTCTCGTTATTCACTTTAGTTCCACACAAGAACTAAAGACATGTTTGGTAGAAATTTTAATCCAATTAATATCAATTTTTTTAAAGTTATTTCACTATTTCAGCCGTCATTTTTGAATTATTCTCTCACAGCTGGGACCCATTTTATCTCTAATGGTCAAAAAATCAATTAACAAAATATTTACTAAACATGCACTAAATTTGTCACCAAATAAATGGCTAAATCTCAAGTTTCTAATGCCATTTTCTTCGCCATTCTCATCTGCTTCCTCATTATATCATCCAATGGTAAATCTCCTTTGTTTAGCTTTGTTTGAAAATAAATATCATTTTAGAATCTTCGTTATGACATATTTGGTACTACACGTTACAATGCGCACACAATAAAATAAAAGAATATTACCGTTTTTAACCTTTTTTTTTTTCTTTTTTCTTTTATCCTTCATTAATCTTGTTGAATGTTTTCCATCACAATATACGAAACATGTGACCAATTTGTTGTGCTCGGAAAATAAAAATTATACAAGACGATCTCTATAAATCTTGCAAGTTCCTTTTTTTTTTTTGGTCCTCTTGATGCGATTTTATTGCTCTAGGTGGAATAAAATTAATTAGAATTTCTAAGTCTCTACACTTGACTGAAATCTCTATTATTGTTTATTCTTTTATCGTTCTATATAAATGTAGAGGTGCATATGGCGAAAGGTAAAGTTTGTGAACGCAAGAGCACGACATATTCGCCGCCTTGCATACTTAACAGCATGTGTACCCAGCGATGCAAGGAATTGGAGAATGCTGCCAGTGGAACTTGTCACATAAGTGGCTTAAAATTTGCTTGCTTTTGCTACTACTATTGCTGATCAGATCCATATAATATTACTCATTTATGAAAATTAATGGCTTTTTCTTAATTATATGAATAAAAAGTTGCTATAATTACGTTAATTTAGCAACTATATGTTGAAATAACTTGTACCAATGTGTTTGTGTTTGATACTGCTGCTGCCTTTTTTGTAACAATTCGAATGTTTGAATTACCAAATCGTGTGTGAAAGTGATCACTTGTTACCATCAAGGATTCTATGACACGACAATGACTTATTTAATAAAATTCGGAATTATTTCTCCGTAATGTGGATTAAACTTAAGTGAAGCAAAATGCAACATTTCCAAACACAAATGTCAAGAGTTATATTATAAATGTAATTAAAAAACTATCTAATCTTTTAAAGTAAGTCAACATGTCAAGAGTTATATTTATTTCTTGGAGTAAAAGAATTTGCAAAATATATACATCTTGAAACAATTCTTGGCCATCAAGCTCACAAAAATTTTCATTATTTGGACCAATGTCAAGATCATCACAACATGATTTCCAATTAGAGTAAATAAATGAATTTAAATTCTCAAAAGAAAATAGAATTAGAATAGTTTTTTTCATTTCTATTGAATTTATCAAACGTTCTCTAATGATCTAGCATATAAGGGAAATAACTGATTAAAACAAAATTTTAATGATCTAATCGCTTGATCTAGCATATAAAGTATCGATGACCTGAAATCAATTCGTTGGTGGATAAGTTTGTAGTGGTCTTACTATTTAAATAAATTTATTATTCACCGATGAATTGATATTCTATGTTATCGTTAGTTAGAATAAGATCAACACTTGTTCTTATTATATAATTTGAATAATTTTGAAAGGAGAAAATTGTATTGTTGGTATCCAATTTATTGTTGATATAGCAAATTGGTCCTTATTATTTAAAACTAGCGAGTTGGTTATCAACTTTTCATTACAATTGGACAATCAATTTTTAACAACGAAAACCGTTCCAAATATCTATCAAATTGTTACGCAACTCTCATTTAAACACGTTTCACTTTAAATTTTGGGACACCAACTCAAGTTGGGACACAAAATATTGCTTTCAAAAGTTATTAATAGAAGGGAAGCGTAACGATTTAACAAAACTTTGCATGATTTTTGGAGTTAGGATCAGCTTCATCCATATATTTGCAACAATAATGAAAGATTGAAGATCACTAAAAAACAAGAAATTCTTTGAAGTACGATCCGAGACACAGTTGCAAAATCTGCTTGGTAAGCCACCAAATCTTGCGTCGGTTAAAATAATTTCTATTCAATTCATATGTGAATCCCCATAAAATGTAATCTCTTTTGTTTATTTCCTGATTGCCTTATCCATTTTTTTTTTTTTTGACCATTGACTTCGTGTATGTTTGAAATGGCAATTCAATCTTCTGCTTATGATTCAAGGATCCCTTGTATATAAATATGCTCTAATATGAGCATAACTTTCGCCTAAATCGGTGGGGCGAGCATGAACCTCGTTCAATTTCTTGAAGTCAAACCTTCAAAATATTCGCAAGTATCAAGAAATTAAGTGCAATATAATAAAAATACTTACATTTTTCAATTGCGAATATTACTACCAATAATTTTTCTTACTTTTATGTTCCATAAGAAGATATTTTGTACTAATTCATAAGTGAGATCCTTGAATCTCTCAAGTCTCGCGCTATAGGCTTCAAATTGTTCTTTGTCACAACGTTGAGGGTTGCTAAGATTTTGAAATAGACTAAATAGAGTAGAAGTTTTGAGTTCAAGAATGATCTCGACTTTGTCAACATTTATATTTATTAATTATTCCAATGAAATTGAGTATTTTAATATTTTCTTGGTAAAATGCTCTGGATAACTTAGCCCTGCTTGATTCCCATCAATTGGGAAAAGAATGAGTTTTGAATAGTATTTTTAACGTGGGGTTAAAAAGTAGAAAAATTTTTAATTTTATTGTGGGAATATATATTTGAAAATGATTTTATAGTAAATAAATTAACGGGTGTCAAACAATGGCTTAATCTATCCATCCAGCCCTATCACAATATTGTGAAATCAACCAGAAAAATTGTTTCTTGTTGGCTTGAGTTTAACCTAGTGCCATGCTAAATTTATGATTATTTCATGGATAAGTAAACGGTATTTTTTTGGTAGCATGTTAAGATTATTTAAAGTTGGAGCTCGAAAATTTGACGGAATATGTGCTTGGGTATTGTGTTGGTTGTTTGATTTTTGCGAGGTTCACACTACTATTATAGAAACTTAGAGATTTCAAAAACTAAGGGTGCGTTTGATTACAAGTAGGAAAATTACATGGAAAGAAAATGAATTCCAAGGAATTGAATTACCTAGAAATTGTTTTCATGGAAATTGTAAATTATTGTGTTTGATTGTATAAATTTTTCACGTGGAAAATGTTGAAGTAAAAGTATTTTTTGATGTTCGTTTGACTTTGTTTTACGTGGAAATTGTCAATTTCAGGGATATCCTCTTTTACAATTATTCCAAAAATTTGTTCCCATTGCCAACAATTAAAAAAAAAATAAAAAAAGCAAAAAAAAAAATAAAAAAAAGATGGAAAACCAAAAACCACCTATCCCCTAGGAAAAAAAATATTATTATTATTATTATTATTATTATTATTATTATTATTATTATTATTATTATTATTATTATTATTATTATTATTATTATTATTATTATTATTATTATTATTATTATTATTATTATTATTATTATTATTATTATTATTATTATTATTATTATTATTATTATTATTATTATTATTATTATTATTATTATTATTATTATTATTATTATTATTATTATTATTATTTATTTATTTATTTAGTTATTTTTTTGCTAGTCCATTTGGACGGTAGTTCTTAGGCCATCAAAGTCAGTAATGATACATAGGGTAAGTGTCCAAAGTTTTGAACAAATCCTATCTAAACAATTTTACACACAAAAAACAAATAAAACTTCTGCAATGAAACATCAGATAATGACTTGCTTAACAGCAACTTAAGCTGGAAAATTCTTTACACATCTCGAATTTTTTTTAATCAACTTTAGCAAATAATGACCAATTAGTGAAATTTTATCTGGTAGTTATGGTGGACTGTAGTAATTTTGAGATAGAAAAATAAATTATGATATTGTTCATCATATTGTCCAATTCTATAGATAAATATACTGAAAAAGAAATTCTAAAATTGTGTTCTTATCCGCAAGTCGAGGTTTTCATGCAAGTCTTGCTACCAAGTATGATTTGATTAAGTGCTTGTTTGGTAAGGATTTTGTTAATTGATTTTTTGACCGTTAGAATAAAGTGGTCCTACCTATGAGAGAATAATTCAAAAATGAAGGTGAAATAGTGAAATAACGGTCAAAAAATTAATTTTAATTGGCTTTTAATTCCTACCAAACATGCTCTAAGTCAAATCCTTGGTTTAATTAGTAAATTTTATATACTTTTATAACATTATATTCAAAGTAGGAAGTTCTTGAATCAATCCTCATCATGCTACCTAGTATAAGTAAGTATGTCAAAGACTTAAATCTCTATTTCTTTATAAGTGATTAAGTGAGACTTCAACAATGGTTCTAATTACCAAATTAACCCTACGACCAGTATATATATCTCTCATCATTTACTCTGTTCCTCACAAGCAATAAAAATCTCACAACATACATATACAGTACTGGAAATGGCTAAATCTCAAGTTTCCTACACCATTTTCTTTGCCCTTCTCATCTGTTTCCTCCTTGTAGCATCCAATGGTAAAAAACCCTTTGTTTGTTCATTTCAAAATAAATTTTGTTACAATTTTTACTGAGCAAATCATGTTTAGTAGCATGCAGCAATGCACATTACACGCTTCATTAATCGACAAGTAGTAGTTTTTTTTTTTTTTTTCTTTTTTTTTTTTTGGAGGGGGGGGGGGGC